TTTCTGTGATGAAGACGGAGGTGAAATTAGCTGCTGCGAAACAATCTGCTATCAAGGCAGGCTTTTAATGATTACGTAGGTTAATTGTAGTAGGAAACGCCTTGGATGCTGTGTTATGAAAACGGAGGTGAAGGTTATGAAAACGGATGAAACTGCTGCTAAAGTTGGCTATCAAAGCAATCATTTAGTTACTATGCAGTCTCACGTTGAATTTCTATGTACATTTTATGCAGGTAATATTTTGCGCGTGGTTTGATGCATGTAATTACATATTACATAGCAGTTTCTTCTACTTGAACACTAATTTCAATTTCAGTTCAAAATAGATCAGTGCATTCGAGAATGAACATATTTCGCTTGTTTTTGTTAATTATTTTTATCTTTTAGTATGAAAATAACCGAATAATTTATTTAAAATTTTAATTACTTACTTTTTTTCTTAGCACAGCACCCTTCCCAAAAAATTGATAGCGTCATTTATTTTTTTCACTCGAATATTGTAATATTAAAAAATAAAATGCAGGAATTGAATCCAGATAATTAGAAATATAAATAAGTGACGTTAAAGTTCATAAAGAGGATGTTGGACGGAGTGTTAAGTCCCTATCATATATGCTTCCGCTACGCGGGACTGGACGTCGAAAGGGACATTTCTCAAAACCCGCGCATTTCTACGAAACTTACGTAGCTAGGTTACTACTTTCACTTACTAAACAGACTTGAACTCTAAACAGTAATCGATCGCTCAGATTGGGATCGCAAGATCCTTCAGAAGCAGAACTTTCGTCTGGTTGGTTGAGCTCTACCCGGGACAGAGCTGCAGACGGAACATTTTCGGCGAAGTTTCAAAGTATCCCGCGTGGCCGAGATGTCGTTTCCGTAGCTACGCGCTGAGCGCTAGCTTTCATTGGAGCTATTTTTTCTAGGAATCCTCCCGTTTAAACTAATGTTATCAGAATTTTGTTTCTCAGAAAAGATAGATGTCATGTCCCTCGCTAGATGTGATGACCCTTTTACTCGTACATTGTTTGTAATCCCTATATTCTTTGAAAAGAGTGCTTTTCGCCAGAACTTCACAACGAAAGATTACAGTAGCCTCGTTCCCTTCATGAGAAAAAATCTTTAAGTTGTAGAGCCCTTAGGTTATTTTTAAGCAGGAAACGTGAAAAATTTCCAATCCCTTTCCGAGACTCGAAACCCGTGTGTCTCAAATACGCGTCGGGTATGCTTCCAATTAAAGCATGCGGAAAGGAGGGAGAAAATATCTTATATGTTCCCCCTTTTAAAGGGCAACTGATGATTAGGGGATCCAATCGTCAAATCCTCGTGGTGACAAATTACCGTCCACCACATTTTCAGTTCGGGCACCACTTGTAGAGCCATTTGGTTATTTTGATGCAGAAGACGTGAAAATTGTGGAGTGCACTCGCCGGAACACGAAATCTAGAACCCTAGACCTCTCGAATACACGTCGAGTATGCTTCCAGTTACACCACGATCGCATGCGAACATGACTACGCGAGCATTTTCTTGCTATGGACGCTGGCTTATGAACGATATTTAGTTCTTCCAGTTCCCATTCGTGAACATCAAATAACTGTAGTCGCAAATATCGTTACGAATGCCATCAGACATGTGATGACTCCACTCTTAAGAATACTGATCCCTTAACAAACAGAGCATTCCCACGTTGGATGCACAACAAACTTGGTTTGTGTTTTGGCTTTAGCAAACAGCTGAAAACAAGTTTGTCCACACATTTAAACAGTTACTCATAAATTTGCTCATTCGTTGACAAATCTGTGCTGACCTAAAAGATGTCAAGGACCTCTTTAACACCCTCTGGCGAGAGGAAGCGAACAGACGTCAGATTCTCCCTCAGCTTCGACAGAAAAAGTGCTATTATAACATTCTTTTAACAGTCCAGCCGGTATAGTGGTTACTGACTCTGACTGCCGTGGCGATGGGCCCGGGTTCGAAACCCGGAGAAGGGATGCTTGTAACAGTTCATCCTTTCATAGGAGGTAAGACATCAACACATCGTGGGGGATTACAATCCGTCTTACTATATCATATCTTCTGGTAATGATATCTTTCTGTCATAGACCACTGCTCTGTGTAGCTGACATCGGAAAGTAATCTTTGAAAGATATCTGTTTTTTTCTACAACACATAAAATTTCCAAATTCCTCTCTTATTACATCAGTGGCTATCAAATATATACTTTTGACCAACAGCATCTTAATGATAATGGAGATTGTTGACAATCTCCCAGAACACAATTTCAGGGAATTAAAGAGATTCAATGCCATGACATGTTGGCAAATGAATCACTCGTTACAACAATCGCCAGAACTACTGATTCAATCCTGTGTGTATCGCCGCCATCAGACAAAATAAAATAAAATAAAATAAAAAGGTTGAAAGGAGAAAGAAAGAGACAACCTCAAAATTCTTTATTCGCAACTTACTTATCTATATCTCTGTTTATTTCTCTTCATTTCAAACATTTCTTTGAGGACGTCATGTCAAATATAATTTTTAAAATTCAGTAATTGTATTTTATTGTTGTTTTGGAATTTAACAAGCTTGCTTTTAATAAGAGAAACCAAAAATATTTTACACAGAATTTCATAAATGCGCGTTTGTCAAATGCATTCTGATGTGAATGCCTAATTTAAAAAAAAAAAAAAAAATTACTAACCATGTCGTGTATACCATCTCCTCTAGTTCAAAACACCACGCAAAAACGCAAAATAAGCAAGGTAATAAAAAATATATTCCAAAGCAGTTGAGCGCTTCAGTGCTCACGAAAAGCGTTGGTTGACACTCCGCATCAAATAACTGCTGCCACAGCAATCAAAAAAGATCCTTTAAAACAACAATACTTTTCGTTAGACCGTTACGTTACCACACGTTGAATCTATTACCCATCCCAGCAGAGGCACCAAACATAATTACAGCCGTGTTCGCACCTCCGGTTTCATACTAATAATAGACTACGTTCAAATAGAAAATGGCATCACGAACAATCACAACACTAAAAAAGAAGTAAATAAAAAATGGTTGTCAGAATGCATATCTGATTACAGTGCAAGAGGGGATAATTCATGGCCTAGCATCCGATAATGCGCCACTTGGCTTGATTGAATCCGTATTTGCTCCTGCATAAGCTGTCCATTTTGCTAACCATTAATATAAATCAGGTTGGATTGTTATTCGGGGGGGGGGGGTTGCTAAAAGGCCGCTCATTTCTGCTGATTTTGTTTTTAAAGGCACAAATGTTTAAGAAAATATGTAGCAAATAAAATGCACAGTCATTTCTACGCTTGATGTAAACTGATCCATGTAGCACTCAACCGTACTTACATAGTGCCTCGTCCTTGTAAATACGAGTATTTCCATCTAGCGATTTAGCGCCAATGATTGTGTACTTTATCGGATAATGCAAGTCGTCAGGGATTTATATTGGCGTATATGCATAGGACAGGTACTGCGTAGAATGTGACCAACGACGATATGCGATTAAGAAGAGTTAGCGACGTATGATCGACACGATAATTTTTTTTTTTTTTTTTTTTTTTGTTCCAGAATCATACAATAATGACAAAGAAGAATAATAAACATTTTGTCGATTGCGTAAAATCGTCAAAAACGTACAACAGACTGCACGTAGAATTGACAACAACATAGAATCGACACAGGTAGAAGAGAAGGGGACATTAAAATGTCCCCATTGGTCGTACAGGTATAGTCCCGCGCAGTTCCGTCCCAATTTCGGAGGAGAACAGTCCAAAGGGTGGTTCAAAGGTCTTCCCCTAACCAAAAATAAACCTCTCGCGAGCACTTTCTTGTACTTTCAGTGCTCTCTTGCCGCACAGACGTTATACGCTTACAAACATCCATGCCTTTTCCGGAAGTCGAACGTAGACACATCCATGTGACAATCAGCGTCACTAACCACTACGCCGGCTGGGCGGCAGAATTGACACGCGTATAGGACCGACTCTACTTCCAATCGACACTGTTATAGGATCGACACCATTACAGGAATTAATACCGGCATACAGTAGACGCTGGCACAGCGTAATTATGGCGACGACGCATAATAACGAAGGACAGGATTTGATTAAAATAAATTTTTATGGTACTTGCAGAAGATTGACAACGGTCTAAGATCGAAATCGGTTTTCAAGATTATCGATCCTATGCTAAGTTCTCTACGTATCCACCCAATCATTCGTATTTGGGGGGGGGGGCGGAGATTAAAATTTGGAATTTGCCATCAATAGAAGATGCTGTGCTCATGTTTAACGTTGTGGAATGTTTCATAATATAGAATCGTGCTACTGGAAAAACTGTAAGAAAATGATCGTAACGCAGTATTGTCACTGAAAACAGATAACAAAAATTGCAATGCAACATTTCTAATTTTTAAAGAAAAAAAGAGAGAGAGAAAAGAGAAAGTTCATTATTTACGGAAATGCAGTTAATCACGATTTATCCTTCAAATTTCTCATTGAAATTATTTATGTAAGGTTAAATTTACTAAGAATGTATTATTCCCAAAAATTTCGTTGAAATTTCAGAAAGTCCAGAAATTTTTCTTAATCATTTCGAAAAATATTCTTATCATCGTAAGTTCAAACGATATTATATCATAATGAATTTTATCTTAAAAAGAAATCTGACGTTTTTCAACACTTTTTACTCAATTTGTAAAGTATTCTGAACATTTTATAATTAATATAAGTATATTTTTAACTACATTATACGCGAAGTCTTGGGAAAATTTCAACCAGAGAAAACTATTCGAATAAAATTTGAACTGCATATACTGTTATTTGTATAAATTTCCCGCTAACAGCTCTTTACAGCTCCTGTAGTGTTGTGTAAAAACAGTCATGAATCCATGAGAATAAAAGCAACGAAACGTTAACTATTTCACATCTGTTTTGTTCAGTTTTCAGAATGGCTGGAAAAAAAGAAAAAGGTCTTACCGAATGTAATGCAAAGGTCTGGACTTGTGAACCTGTACTTCGCAAACAGGACAGTACTTGCTGGTCTCCAAATAGCGGACAATGCAAGCCCTGCAAACTGAAAAGAAAAGCAAAATGGCAATATATTTTTCCTGCTTTTACTGAAGCAGCTTATCAAAATAATAATAAAATGATGATGATGATTACAAATAAATAAAAGATTATATAATGTTGTATGATCTTAAATTCACTTAGTGCGAAATCAAGTTATTCTACTACTTGCGCAATAGCTGCAAAGTAAGTTAATAATAATTTATTTACTAAAGAAGTATTGATTATATTATCTTCTAAGATTAATTTTAGTAGAATTATCTAAAAAGAGTAAATCCATAGTTAGTAAGTTTAATTCCGAGAATTGTTTTAAAGTAACTTGAATGTAAAATGTTTAATGGGGACTTGAATTAAATCATGAATAACAAAATTTCAGTTGTAAAAGGAAATTAAATTGAAAGCAAGTAATTAAATTAAAAGCAAGTAATCATTGCCATTGATCGGAAATTAGTTGACTTTTCAAGGGGAACAAACCATCTCCCACTCAATGAACAATAATTAAGAAATAAATACGAAAGTGTTTCGTCCTTTACTCAAGTAATAAGGCGATGCCAAAGTGGCAATTTAAGTTAGGCCAAATATTTCCGTGAATTGAAGGGAATAATTCATTCTGATTAAGCATTTTCGCTAATTCAGTTTTGAGTGAAAAGCAATTTATGTAGTAAAATTGATAAATTACTTGAGTAATTGTCCCCCTAATTCTGCTGATTTGTGAAGGTGTACTTATTTTAGTGCTATTTTTTTGTGCGTTGAATTTCTTAATGTGAGCTCTATGGTATTTGATTCAAAAGTTAAGATTGTTTTTAGTCTGTCCTATATATTTAATATATCAGGTGCCGCAGGTAATCATGTAAATAGAGTTAAATGTTTTTCATAGAAACTGTTTTTTGGTGTTGCCTGTAGTAGGCATAGCGTTAAATTTGCAAGTTATATATATATAGTTAAAAGAAAATTCCTAGTTCGTACACCAAAAAGTTGCTTAGAGATTGTGGTTCCGTTAACAATAGTTTCGTCTGCATTTCCGTTTAGTTTGTTCTCTTTTCTTTAACTATGTAAATGGGGCTGCGCAACTACTGTCAAGATGACATAAAACAATTATTTAATTAGCTTAAATTAAAACTAAACAGGCAATAAAGTTGAAATATAATCAGATTTTAAAAAATTAATTAATTTCGTGAAATCTACTAAATTAACGTGGAGTGAGTTGGAAAAGCAATTTGTAAAAAAATAAACGTACACAATAATAAATACATAAGGGAAGAAGCTGTATTATCACTGCCAGATTTAAACTTTTCCGAGAGAAGAAAGAATCTAATAACGATATCGCCCCTTTTTCTGACAAAATCAGTTATGTTTCTGTTCCTTCCCAATTAACTGAGGCGCCGAAATCAATTATTTTAAATTATTTGTACCTTTGAAGACGTACATACAATTTAGCACCCACACTATCGCATCTTATACCATCACACCAAAGGCATCTGTAAAACAAAGGCTGATTGGGACGGCTGGCTTTAGCCTCTTCAGCACACGGATACGATGGTCATCTACTCCAAGACTGAAGCAAGATTACAACACCACTCCAGACGACTCTGTCGATATTGTGGGGTTAAAGACGTCGTGTGAGCGTATTCTCGCCGCAGCCAAACGCCATAAAATGGTGGATGGTACCACGGGGGATATGAAGACGCCAGAGCACACTAGATAGCGGACAATGAAGCCGTTCTGACAGTTCAGAATTCTGGATAGTTCAGGGAATTTTTAGAAGAGTGTCTAAATTTTTACTGGATATCTGATTTTTTTTAACACAGTTTATTGAATCTCCGTAAGTAAAACCATATTACACTGCCATGAAATAAAATTACATCTTTCAGAAGAAAACTACTTCCCTAGTAACAGGGAGAAAATGAAAAAGGGTAACAAACGATTATTTATTGATCGTTTTCATGTACCATTTATCTCATTATATGTTACCTTGCAATATATTTCTAGAAAAGGCTGATTTATAAAAGCGGATTAAGCACAGAGACTATTCCAGAATTCCTAACCGCAAAGTTAAAAATCAGATTAGCATTTTACAAGGTAAATTAAGATTTTGAACGCTAAAATAGTACATTAACACTTTATCAGACTCTGTCTTAAGCTCAGTTTTCTTTTCAAGCACTGATCAAGGATTATACTGATTTAGCTCGCAGAATCATTAGGTTTATTTCGGAGAAAAGAACAGGAAAAATCAGCTATGTCCTTGCCAGGATTCGAACTCTCTCATCTTTCCAGTTGCTAGCCGGACGTGCTTTCAGTTACATCGCGATAGCACACGGTGAGGAAGGGGACCCAGTTGTCAAATAATGGTGTTTACGAACTATTTATTGCTCACCATATTTTCGTTTGAGCGCCACTTGTAGCGCGTATTACGAATTAAAATTAATATTTAAAATTTACAGCAATATTTAAATTGATTTTACAGGAAAATCTTAAAGAGAAGAGGAATAGGAAATCTTAAAGAGAAGAGGAATAGGAAATCTTAAAGAAAAGGGGGAGGAGTGTACGAAATAAAATTAAATCCAGTTTTTTAACAGAAGGGAAAACGTTCTATGTAAAAGTCATAATAGGACTTGGATTTAAAAAATTTCCATAATTCTGAGGCAGGGCTAGACTTATCGACTGTGCAATATGTGCATATGCACAAATGGTAAACCTTGGGGAGGGGCGGAAAAGCTGATTTAAGCTAGAAATTAACGTATAATTGGGGAAGGAAACATGTTATTACAGGGCAGTGAAACATGTTATTACAGCGGCAGTGAATTCGTAGGCCGACTCTATCGAAACTGCAAGCGTCTTCCCTAATCCACAGCTTCACAGTCCATTTATATCTACATTATTATTATTTATTATTATTATTATTATTATTATTATTATTATTATTATAAGGGCCCAGCCCCGATCCTCCTAGCCGGCACAAGCCGGCCGTATGATAAAAAAATGGGACTGGCCAGAAAAAAAAAAAAATATATATATATATATAAGAAAAAAAAAACATATAAAGTCCAAAATCTGAGTCTCAATGCCGAATTCCAACTCTATCTTTGTTCGTATTTATAATCTTCATTATTGTCTCTACAAAATCTTTCACATTTGAATAGTTCCTTTTAAAATCTTCCTATATTTAAAACTTCTTATATTTCTCTCTTGCACTCCGGGTAAGCGTACATTCATCGACGAAGTGTCTGGCGTCCTCAAACCTATCACAAATTAAACATTTATCATTATTCTGTAGATGAAACCGATTAAAATAAGCCGGGAAACGTCCATGATTGGTCAGTTACTGATTTATATGAACATTATTTATAATATTCATCTTCTTGTTTAACTTTATATTTTTCATTAACTCTTTCTTTCTTATTAGACGACTCTCAGCAAAAATTCTATTCTGTATAAATCCAGTTTTCCATTTCAGCAATGGTCTTTTTTCTTGAATCTTGGATATGAAAATTATCAGGATATGCATACAAATATTCATAAATTCAAGTATTGAAATAAATTCAGCGGAAGAGATAATTTAAACATGTTCTGTCTGTACGAATAACGCAAACTACATAACACGCAACACGACCATTCTGTAATTCCGGCACAAGAGAAGATTAAAAGTTGGATCAATCACTGATACTAAGAAACTTGAGCTGGTTCGCATCCGGAGTTCCCATTCCCCTCAAATAAGTCCGACGCCTTAATAACAGGCTTTAAGAAGGAAAGTCAATTTACATTCAATCAACGTCCATTTAAAGACGCATCAGAAGTAGAATTTTCAAGCAATGAAATTTCGAGAAATTCTTCTGATTTAAACTCTACATTTCTAGTCTATATTCCGTTCTTTTAAAGCTTTAGAAAAAGTGTGTGATACAAAATAGTCACAAAAATACATTTAGCTTCACAAGAAAGCTACCTTCGTCTGTCGCATAGTAGGTAATTAATTACTTAAAAAAACAAATATTCATAAATTCAAGTATTGAAATAAATTATAGATACAAATACTTAAATAATTAAAAAGAACTATACATACAGGAATGCAGGCATTCCGTAATAGTGGTGGCATCGATGAAATATCCACCGCATAAGATGCAAGACAAGTGCGGGTTCAAGTCCGTTATCTTCAGCCGAGTGGAGCGGAACATAGTTGCTCCCGAAGCACACGACCTGCAACACACATCACACATATAAGATACCAATAAGAATGATTCAAATAAAATTTTCGCATTTTTAATTTGATTTCCGCCGGGTAAATATTCGATAAGAGCCCCAGAAACTACGTCTTTCTGACAAATTCATTGAGGAATTAGAAATTGATCTATATAAAGGTACGGGTACCTTCATTATAGATCAGTTTTATGCTGGAGCAACATTGTAAAGATGCCTGTTTTTTCGATCAGTGGCGGATTTGAAAACTGGTGTAGGCGCCGCTATGGAAACCTTCGTAAAGGCGCTAGCAGTTTATGATAAAGTATTCTTATGAAGATTTCTATCTTTTCGAATAACGGGCAATTTCCAAAAAAGGTGCTGGCAGTTCTATGACGAGGCACCCTGTTTTAACTTGTAGACACCTTTTTGAAAACCGACTACGACCGAAAAGACAGAAACCTTCGTAAGGGTAACCAACATAACGGATCGCACCTTTATGTACATCAGTTTTTAATGTAAGCAACCTTCATAAAGGTGCGGGTAATTTATATCAGGGCATCCTTATGAAGACTTTTGTCTTTCCGAATAGGGGACAGTTTGCAAAAAGGTGGCGGCACTTTTTTTGATGATGCATTTAATGATAATGCTCGGCCGTAAAGGCGCAAACACCTTTTACAAATCGGTTACTCATCGAAAAGACAAAAACCTTCACAACGTGCTCCGGGATAAAGGTACACGCAGCCTTATGTACATCAGTTTCTAACCTGAATAAAGCAACCTTCATAAAGGTTCGGGTACTTCGATGCCCGAGCTCCGCTACGTAAACAGAATTTTCATTTGCTTTACAAATCAGAGTAAAAAACCAAAATTAAATTTTTGCTGAACCAAAAAAGAGCGTGGCATATGATGAAAACAGATACAGCATGAAAGAGGGAACTTCCTAATTCAAAATGAGATTAGGAGACAGAAAATTAATTCAAAACTTTTTATTTTTTAGAGACTATTTGGATTTTCAAAACCGGGAAACAAGAAAAAGTCAGCGCTGTTCCCTCCGGGATTCGAATTTCGGACACTCCGAGGCTAGCTGGACCTGTTTTTCAGTTACATCACGAAGTCCTACAGTAATGAAGAACGCTTTTTACAATTTCACTAGAGTACATCTAAATTTTTTTTAACTATTTATGTCAAAATAGCGATACGCCGAAAAATACAATGATTTCATTTTTATAGTATTTTAACAGGAAGTTAGAGCAATTCGTATTATTTTATATAAAAATTAATATATGTTTCAAAATGCATACAATTCTGATTATCAGAAGCGAAACTCTAAAAACTGTTACACTATTTTTCTTAAAATGCAAGCAAACTTTACCGTAAATACCAACCCAACTGCACAGCGCGCAGAAAATCCGCCTTCGGTTTCTTAAAGGGTAAGTCTAAAACGGCCATCACAATAGCAGTTTTGCATACTGAACAGCAGATAATCAGTACACAAACCGTGCGGAGTAAATCGTCAAACAGTGAAATTCATAGAAGTTCTAAAGAATATTTTGAATAAACTCGGAACCTTAACTTGCCCTACAAAACGATTTGCTCATACAAAGCTTCATCGTTTTGCTTTTTACCTAAATGCACAGTAACCCATTGGAATTAAAATGCGAGTGCAAAAATAAATACTCTTAAATTACTATAGGTATTAATTGTGTAATAACGATTTACTACAAGAACAAGACCATATAACGCATCTTCTTTCTTTTGTATCTAACATAAAACTCATTAAAATTATTGTGAAATTAGTGTAAAGTCTGACACATACGGCAGTTAGTTTTATTTTTGTGGGAATTTTAGAGAATTTGTCTGAAACATCTCGACTTTCCGCGATGGAATAAATCTGTGAATTTCAGATGCTTTCTGATTATTTTTTAAAATTTTTATTACGATTGCTAGGTTATGTTTTGCATTAGAATTACTTTCACATTATTTTACACTAAAACTACAAAGAAAATATACCACACAGTCAACCTATTCCAAAAATGCACCCTCGAAGATTGAATTGAACTGCCGTAAGTTTCGTTGGACTTCTGAAATTCAAGAAAATTCCTCTCTCGAAACTACGCAAAGTCATTCTGGATTATCCGTCTATGCTGAATGATCATTTTAAAAAACATTCTACACAATGAAGAAAGTCTTCGCGTGCACTTTCTTGTTAAATGTTAATTTTGAGCTACAATAACAGTATTTAATATTATTGTACGATTGTTTGGTTTATAAATGTACGTTTTAATTAAAAAATGTGTAATATAGTAATTTTTATTCAGTTACACTCTATTTATTAATTATTTGTACTTTTGCTTCATTTCTGTTGTTTGCCTTATCTTGAAATGTTAACACGAATCCTATAAGGCAAACTTTGAAAGAATTCTTTAGGGTAAATGCCAGGCAACGAATGTTTCACGAATTTTCACTATTTATCTTGTGTTCGCTCCGCGAATTTTTGCACGATAAAATTAGTGCCTTGTTGATGTTTAAGTGCCCGCCGATAAAATTAGTGCCCTGTGATTAGTACCCGCCATGTACTGTAAAACCGGCGAAGCTTTTCCATCTGTAATTGTTAATCAGAAACAGCAACGAATTTGCAGCTATTTACTCATTGAATCATTGTTCTATTACAGCTTAAACACAGCTTTCGATATAAACATGTATAAGATGAGATGTTGCTACAGCGGAAAATCTGAGTTACGCTAGACTTAGAAATCACAACATTTGTTAAGATTCCATTTCAGCTAAACAGGAACTCATCACTTCTCTCATCCCCTTGCACATGTTTCTCTGATCCCCCACGAAGCGTAATACACCCTCACCCTCCTCTCTGCCCTCCACCTACTAATTACCGTCTGAAAAGCAGTGAATGAACCGTACGAAAGCTTCCCGCCACTACTCCAGAGACGGCGAGAAAATACTAGAACGATAAGGCGGGAGGGTATGAAAATCTTCTGGCACCTTGCCAGATATGTTCCCCCTCCTCCCCAGCGAGAATGAATACACAGCCTCCCCTTCTACTCGTAAGTGGATTTGGGGAAACTAGCTTTGGGATAGCGAAAGAGCCCAGCAAAGATTGGGGGATTACGTATAAGTACTGTAAATAACGCTGAAAACATCCATTCATTTCTCTGATAGCTATGCGTAAAAGATAACAGTAATGCGTGTTATTATCTTTTACACTCCACTAATAACAACGGACGGGGAATGTATTACAATTTCCAAAGTACTGTACTTAGCATTTCAGTCACGCCGCATTGATGGAAGTAGAATTAAACATCCAAATTCTTAATGACATATGGTGTTTTATTGAAAGTATTTGTATACACGCATTATACATATACCTAACAATAAAAACACTCATGTCGGATGTATCCTTATCTAATCTTATCTTATCTAAATTTTTAAGATATTCATGCAGTACTTCCGAATGTTGCCAGTGAGCCAATTATAATATTGCCAGTGCGCAAAACATGAGGTCTTTTTTATCTTGCACACAGCCTCGAATAAGACAGTTAAATGATTTTCATTCAGTAAAATATAAGGTCTTTATAATATTACACGCTTTTAGTTAGCTAACTTGTGGTATTTATTGCTATATTCAATAGTTTATAAACGATTCTTAACTATTTCCTGACAAACTATGGAGTTCAGATTTTTTTTACGCATATTGTATGTAGATAACAGTACAATAAGGTGAAGCGAATTTTTCAAAACTCGATTTAGATTTTTCTAAAATTTAATGCTTAGACGAGTTTTCGCACGTGACTTCGTTTAATGAACAAACTAAAACTCTCATAATTTTACTGTTTGCCCTATTAGATACACTGAAAAAAAGAAGAAGTTTTTCGAATGAAGTTTGTAAAACATTTTAACTTAATTTCTGATATTTTGGAAAAATCGTTGAATTTCTTCGATCATTTAATGCAACAGAATTGTTAGAAGTAGAAGAATGATTATTCATTGTGGAAAAACTATTTTTCAGTTGAATAATTTGATTGATAGCATGTCATTGAAACTCAAAAGATGAAAATTGAAAACAATAATAATAATAATAATAATAAAATTTTTATAGAATCAGCTTTTATTTAAAAGTCTTATAATTAATGAACTAAAAGCAGAAAAATAATTTTATGATACAGTTTAATGGTAATAAGAGATTAAACAATTCTCTTTACAAAATTCATCTACAATTTTATATTACGAATAATAAAAGTGTGGGCCTCTAAACAACGCAATCTGTTAATCGAATTGTATTTGAAAACGTTACATGCCATTATTTTTATAAAATTATCAAGGGCGCCCTATGTTGTTCGTGATATAAAACTGCAGATAAATTTTGTAAAGAAAATGATTTGATCTCTTATTCCCGTGAAAATATGTGATAAATTATTATTCTCTTTTCAGTTCATTTATTATTTTCCGAGTTTTAAATAAAAGCTTATTTTTTTAAAAACAGTTTTTAATTTTGTCCTTTACATTTAATCAATTTGTAGTCGTTGAACAAACCGTGCCCAGTAAATACATATACTTTTTAATAATTTAAACCTTTTACTCTTTTTGATAAATTGATATAAAGTGAAATACATTTAATTTGTAATATATCAAACTGATAATTATTATGATCATATGCAGCGTTATTATATAATGCTGCAAATATCAAATATCATTTACTTGGTAGCGAAAACCATATGCAAATACTTAATTTAACTCCAATAATAAAAATAATTTTATTGTTTATTCATATCAGTTTATTTCCATGAAACAAAACATTAAACACCTTTTTCTTGAACAAAATTAAACAGTGAAATTTATATTTTATTTGCCTTTATAAATAACACGTTTTCATTTCCGCTAAAATAAAATAAAAAAGTTAATATTATTATTTTATTCATTTTTACTTTTTTACGTAGATCCTAAAATAAAACATATTACCTTCTTTTTATCTGGCACACCATTTGAAATTCAGTGCTGTGCAC